CACCAGGCATTGTAGATCTACACATCAGTGCAGGAAGTGTACATGTGCATGGTGCAATGCACGACACTTGACAGGTCTGAGGACCCCAGGCACATGAGTCGTGCTAGAGTAGCATAGGTGTGTGCACTGTGATACACTGAACAAAATGATGTATCACATGTGGATATGGTCACGTGACCCACTGAACCTGGATAAGAAGACCACCTGGCCACGGCGACCACTTTTTCTGGTCCCTTGAGGGGTCGCCTTAGACAGGTTTCACTGTAATTCGATTTTCTAATCCAGCAGGTGTACATCGCATACCGTCAGGGAGCATTGTAACATACGCAACACAGGTAACATACACTTGGGAATATCCTATGCAAGAGCATAGGATATTCCCAAGTGTATGTTAAAGACATGCATTCCACAAAGTACTTGGATTGACACAGAAAATCCCTACGTTTTGACATACGACACAAACATGTATGTTGACAGGTGAGCCGTGTTGGAGGGCAGGATTTGATAATCCAGCACCCTTGTTTATCCAGCAGAGCATGCCGTTGCAAAAGGTGCAGGATTAGAGTGGGACGACTGTACTAAAATCGACCAATACAACCGTGTAAAATAGCATCCAAAGTAACTTAGCAACTCATGTACATGTTAGGAGCTTCTGTACCTGTGCAGCTAGATAATGATTGCGCAACAAAACTGCATGCAGCGACCGGTTGACCTCGCGTCATGTGTCGTGCAGGCCAGGCCTGGGTGCATATGTGCATGTGCTGGTCCCCACAGTGCAGCACAGTCTTTTCTTTCTTCCAGACTCCTGAATCGTATGTGCGCGGGTGACGAGAATCGTATGCGCGCGGGTGGCGAGAAACATAGAATGTGTGGCCTTATACTAGGCTAAGCCAACCTCTTGCTGGTGCTCTTCAATGTGTTGCCTGTACTCTTCATTACCACAGATCTCTCATACACTATCTGAGAATTTGTCTCAGTTGTCTCATTGGCTTTTTGACTGGCTTCTTTCATTGTATTTACTTTCTGCAGCCCAGTGTGCTGCTCGATCCTGCTGGCCTCTATTCTTGTTCTGCTTGCTGCTGCATGCTCTACCCTCCTCTTCCCAGCCTGCTCTCTTTGAACTTCAGCTAGTGTAGGTTTGCCAGCTTGGCTAGTAGCTGGTGAGTGTTTTGTATCAGCTTGGCTAGTAGCTGGTGAGTGTTTTGTATCAGCTTGGCTAGTAGCTGGTGAGTGTTTTGTATCAGCTTGGCTAGTAGCTGGTGAGTGTTTTGTATCAGCTTGGCTAGTAGCTGGTGAGTGTTTTGTATCAGCTTGGCTAGGAGCTGGTGAGTGTTTTGTATCAGCTTGGCTAGTAGCTGGTGAGTGTTTTGTATCAGCTTGGCTAGTAGCTGGTGAGTGTTTTGTATCAGCTTGGCTAGTAGCTGGTGAGTGTTTTGTATCAGCTTGGCTAGTAGCTGGTGAGTGTTTTGTATCAGCTTGGCTAGGAGCTGGTGAGTGTTTTGTATCAGCTGAGATCCAGTACAAGTACAGCGAAACCTGTCTAACCTGTCTACCGCTCAAGAGAACGTGGTCTCTGGAACCAGGTGGTCTCCGTATCCAATGTTATTTGACTGGAAATAGCATGACGTGGACACGACGTACATTGTCTACAGACAGTACATGTGTACAGCGTGGTAAATTTATGACTGCCCTGACACGACTCGGAATGGGCACGCAAGTTCTGACCTGCAAGCCCTCCTAGTTCCTTCGTCAGCTGGCCCAACTAGGTTGCACTCCACCATTCCTGGGATTGTATTACAGACCAAATCCGGCTTTTCCTAGGTTACTTGTAAAATGCCTTGGCCTGTTGGGAGTCCCCTAGTAAAACAATAAAACCTACCTACCTGCCTACCCACCCAACCACCAACCCACCCACCTACCTACCCACCTACCTACGCACCTACGCACCCACCCACCTAGTACCTATCTACCTACCTACCCACCAGCTGTCTGTCCACTCTGGACTGGTCATTGATAGACTCATACTGAGTGGATTGGTACTAAACTGACTTTGCCTTCCAAGGTTCACAACAACACAATTAGCCGATAAGCTAAGTGTGACCCTTTGTGTTCGTTTTCATTTATGATTTTTCCTACTTGGGAAACAATGCCTGAGCAAGGCCCCACCTGATGACGCCAGATTATCTTTGTTGTGATACAGTAACTGACATGTACCAGTGGCGGATCCAGGGGGGGGGGGGGGGGGGCAGGGGGCCTGGGCCCCCCTTTGAAAATTTCGACCTTGGTCTAGGATTACAGTAGACTGTAGAATGAGCGCTCGAAATGACTTGGTGTATCAAGTGGGTCACGCGTGCTGGGTACTTTTATACGTGTCCGGTCACTCCGGTACATGGTGTCACGCACTGAGTCTGTACTAGTCAGCGCGCTGTGTACCGGTGTACAACTACTGTACGCACTGCGACCTGAGGACACGGCCGCACTTCAAACATGTGAAAAACGTGCCCAAAAATGCAGGGCCTGGTACATAGTGCAGCGATCGCGTTGGGCTGAAGTCCTGTATGGTACACGGTGCTGTCGACTTCGCCCTTCCTTTTTCTTTTTCACTTGTCAGAAACTACAAGTAAACGCTCTCTACTTCGCTTGTAGCCAACGGGTTACCTTCAGATATGAGATGAAGAGGAAAGGGTCTGACATCAGGTCGTTCTTCAGTGGACCGGTAGATAAGAGAGCTCGCGTTGGAGAGCCGTCCAATGGTCCGTCGCGGCCGCTGTCGAGTGGAAATGTTCCAGTGCAGTTTGAAAATGTCGTGAGAATGGAATAAAACTAGGAACCGGCGGATTCTGCTCGAAAAGGTGGCATATTCTGCTCGAAAAGCAGTGAAATTGGCAGAACCATACAAACCTTATGGCGGGCAATTCCTTGAATTCTGCTCCATGTTTTTATCCACATACCAAACATCCATGAAACTTACCAGAAAAAGTACCGAATTCTGCCAATTTTTCTGCCGGCAGAATCCGCCGGACCCTAAATACAACAGCTCTTCACAACTTCGGGACTTTGTTGTTGTTGTATTTGTTGTTTTGTTTTGGGGGGGGGGGGGGGGGGATACCTTGGGCCCCCTCTTCGGCCAAGTCCTGGATCCGCCACTGTGTACAGAGCAAAGTGAATGGCCATTTTGTCATACCCTAGATCTCCTCTGATTTGTCTAACACAATGTGTGTGTCATTATGTGTGTAAATCATTATGGATCATTTTCTATGTAAACACTTACCGGAGGACGAGCCAAGTGTTGACTCACGATCTGCCGACATTGGCTTCGCCGGACGGTCAGTTCTCCCACTGGCAGTTGCATCGCGTCGCTTTGCCATGGTGTTGGCAACATGTTTAGCAACATCGGGTTGGCTGTGTTCAATGAGTTTTACGAACGTATCCACCTGTTCCTCCGTTTTCTTCAGCATCAGCCTCACCACGTACTTTGTCAGATCAGACTTCACGTTTTCCTTGCTAGAGGCAGTATCATATTCATCAACGTCCAGCACATCATTCTCCAGCAAGAGTTCCAAGATCAAGGATGCATCTAGATTGGAAAGTAGGAAGGCTATGTTATAGCGCACCCTGTCTGCCATTGTTCACACTCCTGCCTGTCCGCGTGACCACAGTTCACTCGCACTGCGGACTGATCACGATCGACATCGAGTTACTGCATAACTTCTTAGGATCAAAGAGTTGTGTTTTCTCAAGGAATAATACGTCGTACTTTCAAGTACAAGCCGTTCATCAGTTGTGGCTCAGGTACAGAGCGAACTAACTTACTTGATGAAGGCAAACAACTCTTTCGAAAATAACGCTTGAAATGTTCAGCATCAAGCTCGCACAGATCTACGCTCTTCGCTATCAGCACTAGAAAAATAATCCCAAGGAGATGACAATGTCAACTGTGCGGTACTTCAGTACTATACTGCAGTCTGCAGAGGCTTTGGCCGATGTTTTTCAACTTTTTGTTTAGGCAGGTGGCCTGGGGATGGGCTGCACAGTCTGTACTGGGCATGTAATGCACTAATGGAGTAATGCCGTAATGGGGTCTCCGACTCTCCGGTCGTGGTTGCCATGGCGCATGCGTGCATGAAGAAAGACCTGACATAGGTATTTTTTTGTCGTTTTCGGTTCCTTGGCAGAGTATGACTCTGAGTGCATAATCCAAGGACTGATCCGAGAATCTAAAAATTTTAATGAGGCCACAAAGTCTGTGGTTCGACTCACCCGACCGACCGTACAATTTCAGCCCGACCGTAACTTTTTTTCGGCGGGCTGTCGTGTGACTGACGTACGTGGACTGAACACGTCCACGTCTACGTGCTGTGCAGCGTGAGTCTGCGGATGCAGGCGGCTCCTTTTGGACTTGACTTGTAGTTGTACTGCAGTGCAGTGCAGTGAGTGGTAGATCTACGACTGCTGCCTTGTGCTGGTAGTAGAGTCTACTCGATACGACCACCGGCAGACTGGCGAGACTTATTAATTTTTGAAGTGACCGTCCGGTTGAGAGTGATTGCCTCGTTCCAGATTAAAGGGAAACTGAACGCCAAAAATAAGTATGGCTTATCCGAAGGAGAATTGGGCACTGATTCCAATGAGCTATGTCTCGAGCCGATCAGAGAAGAGTAACTGTGTCAAATTTCATAAATAACACCTCCCATATTTGGAAATTGGCCTTGATGACGTGCGTACTGCTTAGCTGTCACCATGCTGTGCATGTTCAGCAGTGTAATTGAATGGAAGAAAACAATTACTTTGGTGTTTTGCAGCTCTGTTTCGTTCCCTGACGGTAACCAAATCTAGATGTAGGAATCTGTTGAGCAGGAGAGTGACACATGTCTTCCCGAAGGCTGTCCAGGCTGCAGTGGTGATGAAGAAGACACGATCATCACCCCGAGATCGATCGTAGCGAATTGGAAAACTCATGGTGAATTTGCTTCCACTCCAAGGCAATGTCGAGGTATGAATGGTGCTTGTACTGCCTTCCAAAGTGAAGAGGAGATGAACATGGCTTTGCATAGCTGTTGTTCTATGCCAACTTACCTACTCTTGCTGGTACCGTAGTGGCATATTGCAAATTTCGTGGACGAACAACTCTAGTCACTAGTGGCTAGTGAGCAACACTAACAGGTGAGATTTTTCAATTCGACAAAAATTGTTTTTGTTTGAGAACTGACAGTGGCAGTCATTAGACTCAGTAGGTGTCTCTCTGCTGCTTCTTTCCCTTCATCGGTAGGGTTGTGCTTGAAGTAAAAATAAATAGAAAATGTGGAACAAAAATCTGATCATGTAATTCGAATTTGAACTTCAAAGTATGTGTACATCAAATCACAAAAATGAATGTCAAGGTGGTGCTGTGCATTGAAAAAGACTGGGAGCTGGCAGCAATGGAAAGGGTAGAAATGAAACCAGTAATGCAGAGTATTCATAAGGTAGAGGGAGATAAAAACGGGAGAGGAGTAGTGAGCACTTCAATTTGAAGTAGTGTCAATAGACAGCATCGTGTTGCATACGTTGTGAATATTGTGTGAATCTAATTATTGTCACGAAATTGATATCCAAAATTATTATCCCCTGAGTAGTATTATGGTGTTCTCCTGTGTTTACATGCAGAGCCTTGACGTTGCTGGACGAGCGACAATATAAATTACATAAACATGTAGCTCGTGATGTGGGATGACTGCCGTATCGCATTGCCAACGCAAACCCATCCTGTGTCAGTGCAGCCATCCAGCAACTTGAACTCCCCGGACCAGATGCCGCTGCACCTGAACACCATGCCGATGGAAAGCCAGGAGTTGATAGCGAAGCATTCTGGTCTGCACAGTACAAGGCAAAGAACAATTATGAATTATAATGCAATGTAATCTTTCCCAAACTTCTTTGTAAAACGAACAAACAGTGCCATTATCACAACACTTGATCAAGCATCTTGATGGAGGTATTTTCCATTGTGCTGGCTCAGCATCTGCACCAGGAAGACCATGTACACTTACACGTATCTTGTGTGTGTGTGTTTGTGTATCTGTATGTGCACACGTGTGTGTGGGGGGGGGGGGGGGGCGCACATGTGTATGGGTAGGAATGTGTGTGTGTGTGGGGGGGGGGGGGGTACACGCACATGTGTATGGATGTGCGCGCTGCATGCGTGTGTCTGTGGGATGGGGTGGGGGTGCACGCACATGTGTACATGTGTGTGCGCAATACAGCATGTGTGTATGTGTTCGTTGAACACAGGGTGTACTCCTGATTACATAAACTTCGTGATCATTGTGATTTCATGTGCTTTGAAGTTGAACTTCGCAATACATGTACTGATGCTTGATTAGATTTATGTTCCACATGTTCTATTTATTTTATTTTACTTCAAGCACTTGTACTATTCAAGCACAACCCTACCAATGAAGGGAAAGAAGCAGCAAAGACACCTACTGAGTCTAATGACTGCCACTGTCAGTTCTCAAACAAAAACAATTTTTGTCGAATTGAAAAATCTCACCTGTTAGTGTTGCTCACTAGCCACTAGTGACTAGAGTTGTTCGTCCACGAAATTTGCAATATGCCACTACGGTACCAGCAAGAGTAGGTAAGTTAGTTGGCATAGAACAACAGCTATGCAAAGCCATGTTCATCTCCTCTTCACTTTGGAAGGCAGTACAAGCACCCTTCATACCTCGACATTGCCTTGGAGTGGAAGCAAATTCACCATGAGTTTTCCAATTCGCTACGATCGATCTCGGGGTGATGATCGTGTTTTCTTCATCACCACTGCAGCCTGGACAGCCTTCGGGAAGACATGTGTCACTCTCCTGCTCAACAGATTCCTACACCTAGATTTGGTTACCGTCAGGGAACGAAACAGAGCTGCAAAACACCAAAGTAATTGTTTTCTTCCATTCAATTACACTGCTGAACATGCACAGCATGGTGACAGCTAAGCAGTACGCACGTCATCAAGGCCAATTTCCAAATATGGGAGGTGTTATTTATGGAATTAATATTTGACACAGTTCCTCTTCTCTGATCGGCTCGAGACATAGCTCATCGGAATCAGTGCCCAATTCCCCTTCGGATAAGCCATACTTATTTTTGGCGTTCAGTTTCCCTTTAAGGACGGCCTTCTGTTTTGGGATGAAGGACAGACGAGATTGCACTTTCCTCGAGTATTGGGAACGATATTTCACCTGTACCGGTAAGTTGCTGCTCCATGTGTGCAAGCACAGGAAGCGTCGATGGAAAAAGCCCATGTATTCGTGCACGCCGACACCAAACTAGCAATACATGTACCGGTACATTGAACAATTTGTACTTCGAAGTAGTTCCCGAACTTACTATCAACTCGCATCGTTCTTCATTTGCTTGATGATTTGGACAGTCAGAGTCACCGCTTGAAGTTATTCTCTTCTCGTTCCAGAGCTACACAATGTTTCAAAGTATTAGCCAGTGATCCCTTTATGCAACATGTATGGCATAACACTGCGTAATAATACCGATGTACTGGGTGTCTAAAGGCAGTACAGTGTATTTACATGCACTAAAAAATATATTAAAAAAAAAAATCCGCCCGCCCGCCCGTAAAAAAAATGTCCATGTTAGTCGAACCACACACCTTCTTTAGTTTGGCCTGATGATTAATTTTATGAATCGAGTAAACGGTTGGTCCTACAATGTCAGTGATAATGGTCAAAGATTGAATAAAGCCAGACAGTTATAGAAAAACACTTGTTGATCCTCATGATTTCGATGACCACAGACCTGAGACTGGAGGATTGAGGCTGTTGGATATTATTTGAGCATCCATTCAAACGTCAAATGGAAATGCGATGGTCAACTGATCTAAATCGTTGCCTAACGTTACAATAGCGCACGTGTCTGGTTGCTCTACGGTATCCGTGCAGTTCCGTTCGGTACCTGTATGGTCCAAGAGTATACGACAGTGGACTGGAAATTTCGGACAGGGGACGAGTGACCACTGCTAGCGAGCTTTGTGGCCAATGACGTGGCCAGGGTTGTCCGCGATTATTACAGTGAGTGAAAGCAGAAAGGATAGTCCAGGAGCAGAAGCCTCTTGAGGAACGTGCAAGCTATGAAAAAAGGCATGCAATGGCGGCCACAGTCACACGCGTAGCAAGTAGAGGCTTGCTGCAAAGAAAGAACTGTGTCTTTGTGCTCCGCCCATACAACACAGCAAAACAACAACAGAAATGCATAGCCAGTGGCTGGCGACTCTCTTACGGCCGTTGGAAAGCTCAACTGTGTTTCAAGTGTCAAAAGAACTCTCAGCGCTGAATCCAACCTACCAGACTGTAGAGCCATGGAGATCTTGATTGGTGGGACACACGGATCAATGAGCACCGCTGAAACTGCATTCTGGGTAGCATGACTCACTGAGCGTCTGTGAGGACAGTGCAGAGCATGATTTTTATGATCAATCAAAAACTGCTGTTTGCTGTTACGCGCACAATGATATGTACACATGCTCACTGGAATGAACTGGCAACGCTGGTGTTGGTGAAGGGAACGGCCGATATCTCCAACCTAACCTGGCAGCCGTACAAAGGCAGCATCATGATGGCCAGCTTGCCTGACGAGTTTATCATCGCTCAGTATCCAGAACCGTTCCAGCAACTTCCCCACAATGAAGTGATGATGATGGAAGCAAGGTAGCCAAATGTCAAGCTGGAAGACATGTTATCACTGGCGGCATACTGGATCAGAAATTGAGCACGGAGGACAGCTTTCACAGCAGAGATAATCAGCCATGTATCAGTGGTGGGTGCAGATAGCAGAAGCCAAGAACGGAGAAGGATGGATAACATTGACAGCAGAGGTACGTTGTTGTTGTTGTTGTTGTTGTTGTTGTTGTTTTTGTTGGCGTCATCGTCGTCGTTGTTGCTTACTAGTATGTCATCATTGTTGTTGGTTTTGAAAACAAGTTTACAGTAGAACCCCCCCCCCCCCCCCACACACACACACATCACCATCACCATCACCATCACCATCACCATCACCACCATCACCATCACCATCGCAACCTATCCGGAAAGGCTGGGACCGGACCCTGCCTATAACTGGGAATTTCCCGAAACTTGGAATAGTTTTGTTTTTCCCGTCTGAGCGTAGACGGAAGTCCTCTGATTAGGGAACTTTTACTGTACTGTCAAGATTGTAGCAAGCTGGGTGGAATCATGACTATGGGTGAAACGAATCAGTCACCGAATATGCTCACATGATTCGTTTTCATCGGCCAGGAGCCATCATCAGTAATTTAATAAGTTACTTCAAACAAGTATGACTTTGTTATCCACTTATCCACTTAAGGGAAGTTAAGCCGTTAGTCAAATTTTCACGTGTTGTAGTCTTCAACGTGCTGAGTCGAATGGTCTTGGTCCGAGGAAGCTGAGACTCCCTTCCTTCTTTTTCCCAATCGAACTCGCCACTTCCACCAAACCTGGGTGACTGCGCCCTACTGGATAGGGATTTGTATGCAAAATGTCACTGAAAGCACCATTTTGTTCTTATAAAAGCACGGATGAGCGCGATTGGCCCATATGTTGTAGTCTTTTGGACGCTAAGTATACTGATATTGGTCCGAAAAGGCTGCAATGCAGCGTTCGGCCCTTATTCCCAATCGAACATGGTTGAGTAAGCGGTCAAGTGCTCATGCGGACACCAGTAACTTGGTCACCGTGCCTGCAGGGTACAGCTGACAGCCTGCTTGGGCGCGTTCATGTCACTCGAGTTTAACTTGAGTTGAACCTTGGTGTGAAAGTTGTAGCATACCGGCACGGTGACCAGGTGACTTGTGCACGCATGAGGACGTGACCGCTTAATCAATATGTTCGATTGGAAATACGGGCCGAACGCTGCATCGCAGCTTTCTCCAACCAAAACCTCTTGACTCAGCGTCCGAAAGACTACAGCATATGGGCCAATCGGGGTCATCCGTGCTTCTATAAGAATGAAATGGCGCTTTTACAAATCCCCATCTCAGTGACTAGGACGCAGTCACCCAATTTCGGTGGAAGTAGCGAGTTCGAAAGGGAATAAAGGAGGGAGGGAGCGTCTCAGCTTCCTCGGACCGAGATCATTCGCCTGAGCACCTCGAAGACTACAACTGGTGAACATTTGATTTCAGGTTTAACCTCCCTTTAATTGCAGTTTGTTTTGAACCAACTAAACCAAAAAGCATTTCAAGCACACAACTCCTTGCAATATGAATACTAGTATACATGAAATATCTGACTGTCATGTACATTGGACAAATCACTGGGTTTTGTTTGCAACGGAAGTTGTCATTTGCTGTTTACAGTTGTTTTAAAAAATTTTTTACAAGTATTCTCAATGGGCTATCCGCATTTGCAAGTATTTATCACACGTGAAGAAAACGGTGGCTTTTTGAGATCCTCCTCCAAAGCGTGCACACATGCATGTAGTGAGTGAACCGTTCGCCTCAGTTGTATGTGCACACTGCTCTGCACATTTGTGCATTGAGAACTCTGCTTTGAGGTGCCTTGACCGGCCTTGTTAGCACATGTAGTGAAGTCATTACGATTCCTTTGAGAGATGATTAATTAACATGAAAAGAAGAAGTAAATTATCGTGTCCGTTCCCAAAGGGAACTCACGATGGCCGCTAACACCCGGTAAACCCTAGCGGCAGATGCAGCGCCTAACGGTGGGGGTGAATGGATAAGTCTCACAACCACTGGCAGAAGTGCCGAGAAACCCCATTACGGCATTAGCTGCATCCATGTACCCCCTTGTACCTGGCCACAAGTTCCCAGTTGACTGTGGGTTGCAGCGCTGCTGGAAAAACGCTCCCAGGCAGGACTTGAACAAGGTACCTCTCGTATCTCAATCATGGTCTTTGACCAACCCACTGTGCCTGCCTGGAATTAACATTCACGTGGAGTATAGTGGGATGAGGAGGGTGGGTCAGAATTTGAAAGCTGTCTTCAGGCAAGGGAACTGGAAAGGACAGCAAGCTCTGTTGTTCGCA